TTGAAAAATATTTCCATATTATCCATGTTGCAAAAGAGAACACAAAAAAAGAAAGGAAAAAATTGAGAAAAACGAAGTTTAAAAAGTATGCTTTTTTTAAACATTCATTTTAAATAATTTTTATTTTGTATCATTGTATTGCTAAGAAATAGCAGTGTGATGATCATTGTACAATATTTCTGTTACTACCTGCAATGTTCTCTTGGTTCTTCTCACTTTAGTTTGCTTCAGTTCATATAAGTCTTCCCAGCTTTTTCTGAAACCATCCTGCTTGACAAGCAGGTATTCCATCACAATTACATACCACAATTTGTTCAGTCATTCCCCAACGGATGGGCATCCTTCAGTTTCCAATTCTTTGCCGCCATAAGAATAGCTGCTATAAATGTTTTTGTATTATAGGACCCTTTTCCTTTTTCTTTGATCTCTTTGGAATACAGACCTAGAAGTGGTATTGCTAGGTCAAAGGATATGCAGTTTTATAGCCCTTTGATCACAGTTCCAAATTGCTCTCCAGAATGGTTGGATCACTTCACAACTCCACCAACAATGCATTAGTGTTCTGCTTTTTCCACATCCCTTCCAACATTTGTCGTTTTGCTTTTCTGTCATATTAGCCAATCTGAGAATTGTGAAGTTGTACCTCCGAGTTGTTTTAATTTGCATTTCTCTAAGCAACAGTACTCCAAATCACAATTGATTAAGGACCTGCATTTTTTCAACACAGTCAATTTGAGAATTTGTTTTGCTTGACTCTACATATTTGTTACAAGGTTCTCTTTCTCTCCCCTCCCCCTTACAGTCTCCCCTCACCACCATTGTGCCAGGGGATGGGGAAGGGGGTGGTGTGTGTGGGAGACGGGAGGTTGGTAGAAGAGGGGGGATATTTATAGGGTGTCTCCCTCCTTTCCCAGTCCCTTCCCAAAAAAGAACAAAACAGAAGGAAGGCAAGTAAAAATCACAGACAAGCAGGACAGCTTTCAAAGTTACATGTTGAATCATACACTTAGAAAGAAAAGCAAGGTCTACGTAATACAGTTTCATGTACAATCTTCTCTTCAACGTATACACAAATATTTGCTTTATTTGGTGCTTGTTAAATTCAACATTAAAAAAAAATGAAAAAAAAATCGTGTGGAATACTTCGTTGCCTAAGTGACTCTAGGAAATAAAAATTCTCTTGGACCCTATTGGCGACTTAGGGTTTTAAGATGTTCACTGAAAGGTGTCAATTCTAATTCCATTTTTACAACTCCCCTGAAAGGAATTCTCAAAGCTATTCTTTGGAGCCTGCCCCTTCTGCCTCTGTGTCCATGGCAACAGATGTTCAATAAGTAAGCCCAGGGTCCAGCCTGTCTTTGACTTCACCTCAGGTCAGCCCATTCCCATAGAGGTTGCTGGGGAAATAGCGGGCTTTCTAAAAGGGATTTATGTCCCAATCCAAAGAAAGGTACAACTGTTTGGAAAGAAAAATGAGTCTTCAAGTGAAAGGAATAAAGGCGAGAAACAACAGAACTTATATCAACAAATTAGAATGCCATGGAAGCTTTCTAAAACAAGAAGCCAGTTCTTTACTTAAAAGTAAAACCTGCAACATTCCTGAGCGCAGGGACCATACTTTCCTTTTTGATTTGTTTCTTGCCTTTCTGTTTCTGTCCACACTCCCTGCTCGTACTCCAATGGATATCTAGTCTGTAGGCACCCCGCCCCAACTAAGGAAACCCCAATATCTAAAAATCTGAACTTACACAATAAATTAGGGAATAATTACTTGCATTACAAAGGTATTCATCCCAGCGCTACATCAAATAGTAAAGTTCCCTGGAGCTTTTCAAACTAGCTCCAACCAAAACCAAAAAATAAATCTATGAGCAACATTTTATAACAAAAATGACATAAAATGAGGTAAGCCTCCACTTGCAGATAGTCAAAGGGTCCTTAGAGATCATCTATTTGAGAGGCAGTGAGTACAGTGGAAAGAATATTGCTTTTGGAGTCAGGGGACCTGGATTCAAGCCATGACTGCTGTTTGTTAGCTGTGTGACCTTTGGCAAGTCATTTGCCCTCAGTTACCTCACCTATAAAATGAAGAGTTAGGACTGAATGGCTTCAGAGGTCCATTCTAATGCCACATCTATGATCTGGTGAGCTTTTTCATTTTAGACATGAGAAAACCAAGACTCCAAGTGGTTAGGTGATTTACCCAAGGTCATACAGATAGTTAATGACAGAGCTCAGACTGAGAACTGGTATCCTGATGTGTATTCCGGCATTCTTTCTGACATGCCAGCTCAATAAATTTCAACATTCAGAATCACAGAATCTGAAAGTTGCAAGGGACCTCATAGGCCAAGGATGGGGAACCTGCAGCCTTGAGGCCACATGTGGCCCTCTAGGTCCTCAAGTGTGGCCCTTTGACTGAATCCAAACTTCACAGAACAAATCCCCTTAATAAAAGGATTTGTTCTGTAAAACTTAGACTCAGTCAAAAGGCTGCAGGTTCCCTACCCCTGTAAAGGCCCTCTAGCCAAACAGATACCCAATCATGCTTTAAGTTGGGCAAAGAGCTTTCCTTATAATTCTGTAATATAACTAGTGTATGTGTCATTATTCCCATTTTATTGGACACTGAGGTTGCCTGAAATTAAATTGCCCGTGGTCACTCAGTAAGTATCTGAAAAGGAATTTGAACTCAGGTCTCCTGACTCTTAGCCCAGTGCTCCATCTATTATGTAACACTATAAAATTCCCAAAATGTGATTATTTAGTTTTTCTGAAAGACTTTCAATGAATAGGACTCCTGAGTCAGCTTATTTCAGTTACAGATACCTCTAATTGTTAATAAATATTTCTTTACACCAAAGATATATATATATATATATATATATATATATATATATATATATATATATATTTCTCCTATGCCTCTTGAAGCCTCTGCAACAAAATAAAGCACATTCCTTAAAGAGGTAAGCCACATTGTTATTTGCTTTCAATCTCAACTTTTCCCTTTAATTTTTCTTTTCTTCCCCTCCCCTCTCCCCCCGCCCCAGTATTTACAATCTCAGTTTTACAGATCATATTTCCAGGTCAGGTCAGCGTCATAAAATTTTACGTAATGCTGTTTCTGCCCAAGCCTGAGGTAATTTTGTGAAGAGACAGCTCAGTGCTTCATGATACATATGTGGATGAAGACAGAACTATTGATTGGCTGACAACACCTAGTATAATGTTATCCATCCATGTAAGGAATGTACTTTATTTTGCTGTAGACACTTCCAGAGACATAGCAGATATGTGTGCAAAGAAAAGCTCCAGAGAGTTAGAAAAGAGATTTTGAATGGCAGGCCTGAGCCCTCGGAGATATGGACATGCGTAGGAGGAGCCGGTTGCATCACATTCCTTTCTCTCTACAGCTTGCAATTCTACAGACTGTTGAGAGAGAGTTTCCCATGGGGGAGATCACTCTCACTCTCTTCTGGTTTGAGCTCAGATTTATCTAACAACTAGCTAAGAGCTCATTTACTCTTGTGTATTCTTTGGTATAACCCAATCTGTAGAACTTCTCCAATTTCTGTAGAACTTCTTCCAATTTATCCAATTATAAATGGTTTTTATCTATTTGTGGTCTTCTGTGTAACTAGCATTTGATGAGAAAAGACTAAGTTGGTAAGAGTAAGTTAAGTGCAACCCTCTCTTCACATTGAGAGTGATCAAGGAATTGTTTTTTGTTCTGGACCCCTAATATTGTACCCTTAGACTTAAACACCCTTAGAAATATTCCAGGATAGCAGACAGATTTAATTCTAGTTTACTTATTGCTAACTATCATGATAGTGGTTCAGAAACAATCTTCTTCCTACTTTCCCTAGCCCTAAAATCTGACACATCCATGCTATCTATCCATGAGCCACATCTATATCTGTATCTAGACATAGATAGACAGAGATAAATAGCCTCACACAGAATTTTATATTTAAAAAGATGATTCACTTTATTTTGCTCTCAAACCAGGTAAATCCATATAGTTGTCAAGTAAAACACTCCAACAAACCATATTCCTCAAAAGCGAACAATTTTACATGAAAACAACATTAGTATTTGTACTCAATAATTTCATATTCATTCACAATTCTTGTGCATCTTAAGATTATGTAGATATTCATCACGGCTAAAGATATAAGGCCCAACTCATGATGCTTTGCATTTGTAGAATACTTTACACAGCGTATAAAGCACATTCACACGTGTCATCTCATTTATTTTGTATTTACATGCATGTTACATATATGTACGCGTGTACACACACACACACACACACACACACACACACATATATATATATATATATATATGTGGTTACCCCAATGGAATGTATGCTCCTGGAGGACAGAAACAGTTTCATTCTTTTTTATTTTTATTCCCAGCGCCTAGAACAGTTCTTGGCACACAGTAGGTGCTTAATAAATACATTGGCTGTTTGATTGGATTTTTACAACAATCCTTTGAGGTAGGCAAGTTGGGTCATTATTCTAGATTACAGATGAAAAAAACTGAGAGTTTAAATGATTTACTTAAACTTAAATAAACTTATTTAGATTTAAGTGGTCATATGATTAATAAATGATAGAGTCCCATGGGATTAGAAATGAGGATTTTTTTATATAAGCTCCCCTGGGGAGATATCTCTACTAAGCTTTATCAAGGAAATTTGTAAACTTCCACCTAGAGAGACTAAAGGCCATTCGGTAACACCAACAGGCTTTCTTGGCCTCAACCTAAATACTATAGGCCAGTTTATTCCCATGAACTTACCTTCCGCCAGATAAACTACATTTCCTCCTAAATGTCTATTACAACCACACTGTGTGTATAATATGTTGGAACTCTAAATGGCAATAAAGAAACTAGGAGGGGCAGCTAGGGGGTACAGTAGATAGAGTTTCAGCCTTGGAGTCAAGAGAACCTGAGTTCAAATCTGACCTCAGATACTTGACACTTACTTGCTGTGTGACCCTGAGCAAGTCACTTAACCCCAACTGCCTCACCAAAAAGCAAAAAAAAGAAAGAAACTAGGATTGGAGAAACCCACAACCTGGGGTGAAGGATGGAAGCACTATCATGCTTTCCTTCCGGGGAATTTTGACAAAATAAGCATTGGCAGAACCAGAAAACAGTGCCTTGAACATACAGGTAGCTATCTAGTGATCTACATGAAATTACTTTTATGCTTTCAGTTTTTATTCTCTTCTGCAGAAATAGACAAAGTAGGGAAAATCTGATAGCTGGCTTTTTTTTATCTTGGTGGACGAAGGTGTCAGGATTGCAAGGCCTCTGACATAGGTACACCTGAGAGAAGTGGGCAGAACTCAGAAAATGTTGTCAAGAAGGCCTCTGTTACTGACCTCAAAACACAGCATTACTGTTGCCCAGCCTTCTGGTGTACTCTGTGCCTGAGACCTAAAGGCACTTACAGCACAGCCCGACACATCAGACATTCTCCCTGGACACACAAACATTCAGATACCCAGAATCCCCACAGCTACACTACCACAAAGAGATCTCATCAATTCTCCTCATAAAACACACAGCTCAGCCGTCACAAGATCACAGGCCAGCCTGACACCAGTTCAGAAGCCCAGGCTGGAGGCAGCCTCAGAGTGAGAGAGAGGCTGGTGCCCTCCTCAGGGAACCTAGTAGTAGCTCTTGCCTTCTCGTCCCACAGTATAAATCTCTTACCTCCCTGTTAGTAGTAACACAGGAAAAGGGGGTAGTAATACGCATCTGGCAAGCACGAAGACATTGAGGTCTTCCCCATATTTCTCCCCCACACTTTTTAACTTTTAGAAGGGGCATGATAACCTTCCTACAGAGTGATGAGATACTTATAGGTAGTTAAGTCACAATTTCAACTCCGGAAAAGTATCCTCTGGGCATGTGGGTCATTTTCATCAAGTTTCTGATTCTGAGTTTAGGCTGTTAACCTGGCATCATCTCTGGTTAAGCCATGCCTAGAAAAAGTTAAAAATGTTTTCCACAGATGTTTCAGGGCCCTGAAAGCTCAGCCACATTGACCCAGGGCAGCAGAAAAGTAGCTAAATGGTTAAGGACTATCATATATGCTATGCTTCCTTTCCTCTCTCTTAGACTCTGGTTACAAGGATGAGAGTAGAAAGAAGTGTGCAGATTCACCCTTCCTTTGCTTTATCCAAGCCTTGAGCCATCAACATTGACCAGTGCTTTCTCAGATTGGCCATCTCCACAATCCCAGGTCCCAGGTGTCCCTGGCACTGCTCCCAAATCCTGAGGGGTAGCATGGCCACCCTCACTTGACTGTGAAGCCCAAGCATAATGGGTGCTATAATCTAGTTTGTATCCATGTGGACTCAACTCGGAAAAGCTTATCAAGTCAATGACATAGTTGGAGTTGTCATCATCGTTTAAAACAAACAAGAAACAAACCCCTTTTGTCTCTGACAAGAAAAAGGAGCTTGGTAAACAATCCAGAGCCAAGTTTGGCCACTGTCTGGGAGCACAGGTGGTAGCTTCAGCAAAATTCAATAATACTGTGGTTCATGCCATGGAACTGTGGTTTATCCAGGGAAAAGGGATGCAGTGATTGGCACTATCCAAGAATCTCTCTGCTGCTTAGGGCTACAGAGTGACAGTCTGTTCAAAAGGAGAACTCCCACCACACTGTTAATGGGCGGATGCATACGATTATCGATTCAAAGCTTTAGATACCATCTGGTCCAACCCTCTCATCTTACAGATGAGGAAACTATAGGTAGGAAGAAGGACCCATATGGAGTAGCAAGAAATCCTAGAAGAATGAGCAAGGCTGGGGAAAATGATCTGACCAAAAAGAACAAAAAAAGTGGGCCATGATCTACTACTAGCTCATGTTGAAATTTTGCATTGGATTATCACAACTAATAGTCATAGAGAACTCTTAAGCTGTGTGTGTGGGATGGGGGTGAGAGGAGGATAAAGAGAAGTATTTTGGTGGAAACTGCTGGACACAATAAGAGTAGAAGGGAAAGAGGAAAAGAAGAGGGAGGGGAAGAAAGGGAAAAAGAGGAAGAGAGTGTGGAGAATTAGGGTAGAGGAGGGGAAACGGCAAGAAAGAAAAATGGGGGGGAGGGAAAGGGAAAGAGAGAAACAGAGAGAGACGGAAAATTTTCGTCAACATCAGTGTTGCCTGCTCCCTTCATTTATTGCATGAAATGTGAGTCACTCTCCAATAAAACCTGGCTTTTGGCAAAAGTGAAATCTAGCATCTGACGTGCTAGGTGAACTCAGCAGGCTGCTCCCTGACTGAGGGACTCAATTAGAGCTCCTTATCTGAAATAAAGTTTCTCAAGAAAGAGGGGATGAACCAAGGTACCTCTGCTTTTAAAACCTCCCCCAGTCAAAGAAGAGCAAGTGTTTATGCTCCTGAAATGTTACCTGCTTCTTAGGTGTATTTAGGTTGAAAGCGGGGGGCCTGCTATGGTTTAGGACTGAGAAGGGCCAATGAAGCTCTCTGGATCGGGGCAGAGCAAATGGAGTGAAAGTCATATGACTGGATGCCTGAGGTACAACCTCTACCTGAGGGGCAGTCATCTAGTCTGAGGGCCAATTAACATCCTACATCCACGGTCCCCAAACTCCAGTTGCTTTGGGATCACAGTGGGGATCCTGGTCGGGATAGAACACCGGTACAGAGGTCTTATGGTAATATTGGAGCCGGGCCAGAAGCTTCTTAACGATACTGGGATGTTTGCCGGATAGGTCATATCTTTCTTCAGGGTCTCGTTGGATATCAAAAAGCCAGAGGTTTTTAGTTGGTGGGTCATGTGATGGTTGCTTTCTGATTCTGTATGAAGATGGTGGTGGAAACCAGTGACCACAGCCTGTTAGAGAAATACAAAACAGTAAAAGGAGGCCCTGGGGCAGCTAGGTGGCCCAGTGGATAGAGTACCAGCCCTAGAGTGCAAAGTACCTGAGTTCAAATCTGACCTCAGATACTTATTAGCTGTGTGACCCTGGGCAAGTCATTGACTCCTGATTTCCTTCCCCCCCAAAAAAGAGGAGGCCCAGTATAAAGCTAGATAGAGCTTGAAAAAAAGCATACTTGGCTCTTCCCAAGAGGCCCTGCATCCCTGGCCACACTCCACTCTTGGATGTACCTGAACTCATGCCCCAGACATACCTGGCCGGGAGTAGAAGTAGGTCTGCTTCCTGCTATTCAGTGCTGCTTCCACTATGCCCCTGCCTCTCGTCTGAGGTTCACTCTGATCAAGTCTAATCTCTCTTCTGGAACTGATGGCTGCTATGTCAGCTCTTGGGTTATGCCTCCTTCTTTCTTAAGGAGTCCTCAAAGACATTCTCTCCATCCCAAACCCCACCTTTAAACTGGAGGATATCACTTGACATGTTGATGCCCCCTCAAATACCCTTGCTTCCTTGGTCAGCCTCCTCTTTTAATCTTCATTCTATCTTGAAACTTCTGTGGCTCCGTGTCTCTAGGACAACCACTTCCAAAATTCTGATCTCATATCTCCACTGGCAATCAATTTTTGAATGTGTATTTATTTACTTATAAAGTATATACACATACTAGTGAGAGATAATACACACTATAAAACTTAACATAGGAATTAAAAAAGGATGAGATAAAGATGAAATATATTTGATCCTACAGTCAAAGGGAAGGGGTGGGGATGACATTGAGAAATCTAAGCTTTGGGAAAATGCCTTTGGGAGCCGTGTGGAGGATGGGATGGGGAGATGAGCAAGAGGCTTGAAGCAGGGAGGCGAGCTAGGAGGAGGCTGTTGCAATAGTCCAGGACAGAAGTGATCAGGTTCTGAACCAAGACAGAGAAAAAGGGAGATGAAATAAATGTTATAGAGGTAGAAACAAGATCTGGCAACAGATTGGATATGTGGAGTGAAGGAGACTGAGGAATTGAAGATGATCCCTAGGTTGTGAACCTGGATACCTAGAAAAATGGTAGCGCCCTCAACAGAAATGGGGAAGTTTGGAAGACAGATGGAAGTAAGTGGGGTTTTTTGGGGGGCGGGGGAGGAAAACGTACTAAGATGTACGAGACAACTCACAACCCATCCATACCTGCTCATCCTGTCCCACTCAAAATGAAAAGGGGGAAGGTAGGGACCCTTACCTCTGGTCACTGCTCCAGAAGAAGGAAGGAAGGAAAGCAATAAGCATTTATTAAGTGCCTACTATGTGCAAAGCACTGTGCTCAGCATGTTATAAATATTATTTCATTTGATCCTTGCAATAACCCTGGGAGGTAGGTGCTATTATTATAATACCTATTTTACAGATGAGGAAACTGAGGCAGACAGAGGTTAAGTGACTTGCCCAGAGTCACACGGCTAGTAAGTGTCTGAAGCTGCATTTGAGCTCAGCTGTTCCTGATTTCAGAACCAATGCCACCTAGCTGAGATTCCACAGAGCACAGAACCCACCATCTGAGGTACTCCTGCTATGGTCACAGGTGATTTGAGAGACAGAAGAAGGTGTGCAGAGAGGTGGGAATTTTTCAGTGGTACCTGGTAGTGATATCAGATTAAGGTGGAAATCGGGGAGGCAGGGAAACAGAATAAGACAATGTTGGGAAATAAAGGTAGATGTAATCATGTTAGAGAAAAGCCTCATAATTAGCTGTCCCAAGGAGGGAAGAGGTGTGAGCCAACTTCCCACTTTCTGACTAGCTGATCACATATCTCTTGAGGACAGGACATGGTCTTCCACTTTGGAGATCCAGGCTAGAGTATAAAACACAAGTTCCTTTTTTTGTTAAAACTCTCCAGCATCTGGCTCCAGCTGACCTTTCCAGGCTCACTCACTCACTCTATACTTCTGCCATACTAGCCTTCTTGTCAGTCTTCACATATGACATTCCACTTCTCATCTCCATGTCTTTGTATAACTGTCCTTCATGTTTCAAAGGCCCTCCCTTCTCATCTCTGCCTTGGAGAATCTCTGGCTTCCTTCCAAACTCAGATCCTGGGCCACCTCCTAAAGGAAACCTAAGCCTTCCCAGGGGCTAGAACCTTCCCCCTTGGAAATTACATATAATGTATAAAATTTGTGTTTGTCTTTCATCATCTATAATGGAATGGAAATTCCTTTCAGGACAAGGACTGTTACTTTTTTCCCCCTTTGCATCCTTGGAAACTATCATAGTGCTTGACATAGTCAGGAGTGTGTTGGTAAATGTTTAAGAACCATCTCCCAGGGAAAAATGTACCCATAATACACTTTTAAGTTTAGTCTGCATTATTAACACTGTTTTAAGAGCAGACAACCATAAAAACAATCAATCAAGACCTGATTTGTAGCAATTGCCAATTTCTGAGGTGTAAATACTCCGACAGAAAATTTAACAATCTTCTGTCTGCTGCCATTTGAGCTGCATCCTGCCCCTGCCCACAGCACTCACTTAATAAATGCTTGTTAAATGTTGTTGAATGGTTGCAAGCATTTAAAATATCTGCCTTCCAAAAAAATTTAGGGAGAAAGTTCTTCCTTTTCCCTTTTTTTGAGTCAATTTCCAACGGTTTTAGTAAAAAGTAGCAGATTAGACCCACTTTTCTCACTTAGCAGCTCAAAGAACATGCCTTATAAGGGTCATTGGTTTAATTTGCAGATGTTTGCTTGATTATCTTGAACATAAACCTTCAGAAAAACTTGGGAAATAGTAATAGTGAATGCACTGTAATTGGGAACAGGTTACCTAGCAAAAAAAGGATGGGAAAACCTTGAAGAAATAGTACTTTACTTCTTCCACACAGCATGAAAGATCATAAAAAATTTTAAAGACCATTTTTAGTCTTCCAGGTGTCTGGGTAAGGGCAGGAAAGAGGTAGAGTTTGGGGATAGAGAGGAAAAAAGCAAAGGGAAGTGGGAAAGAGAAGGGGGTAAGATAAGGAATTGAAAGTAGGGGAGTAAAGCCCCACTATTGAATGAACGTAAGGTGATAGTCTCTCTGTCCTCCTTTTGCATATTATAGCTGCAAATTTATAATAATTTTACTACCTGGGTAGCCAGTCAGTAGTTTCCAGTTTCCATATCGAATTGCTGCATGGATAGAAACATTGAAGGTGGAATGTGTTGTAGGAAAGGAATCACCCTTGGAGGGAGGCCTAGTGTTTCCTGGACCTGAAAGGAAACAATATGGAAGAATGAGATTGAAATTTCAGTAGCATACAGTTACACAGACCCACCTTATATTTCTTTCACACAACACTAAACAGTCTGGATTTAATACTGGAGTGTAAACAGGTTGCCTGCCCTAGAAATGAATTCTTCATTAAATAGTTTTATTATTATATTTTATAAATAGCTATGGTAACTTTAAATGTCTGTCACAAACAACTGAAAAGAAGCATTCTGAAGACGTTAGAACTCTGATCTAACTTTAAAATATCTGTGCCCTGCTTTTATAGGGTTATACAGTGTTCTATTGTAGTATTTTTTGGGGAGAGGAGTGTTTAAAGATGGGAGGGACTAGTTCTGTGATTTCACTGATATATGGAACTTCTTGCTGAGGGAACTCCCTCTACCAGTGCAGAATGGCACATCATCGGGGGGGCAGACCAGGGGTGGGGGAGAAAAAAAAAAAGAAATTTGCATGATAATTTTGTTACATATTTGAAAGAAATAACAAGTTGTGCAGAGTAGATTTGCAGTTTCACATGCAATAATCTTTTTTTATTGTGCTATGTTACAGAAACACTTGTTTTATTCCATAAATTGAAAATAAAATTAAAAAAAAAAGAATGGCACACCGTCTGCAAGCTATAGTCTTAGAGCATAGTTCAGCACACCAGGAAGTAAAGTGAATCGCCCAGGGGCTCACAGTCAGGATGTGGCAGAAGTTTTACTTGAACCCAGGTCTTCCTGGTCCTGAGGCCAGCTCTGGTTCCTGTTGTTAAGAGGATGTGGGGATTAAACACTCCCGCAATAGAGGATGTGCTGATAAACTGCAGATAATGGAGCCGTGAAGGACTCTACCCTTCCGCCTTAGAGAACTCTTGACACGGGGCCTCACTGTCCTGACCGGTCACCAGCTCTGGCTGTGCTTCACGTTACTGGCGCCATCTCACCAGCACCCTCACAGCCTCTCTGAAATCCTCTATGGCTTTCCTTACTCCTACATAATAAAACTTTACAAATATTATCTCATTTGATCCTGACAACAAGTCTGGGAGATAGGTGCTATTATTATCCCCATTTTACAAATGGGGAAACTGAGGCAAACAGAGAATAAGTGACTTGCTCAAGTATCAGAGGCTGAATTTGAACTCAGGTCTTCCTGACTCCAGGGCCAGCACTCTCTACACTGCACTACCTAGTTGTACTGCTAGTTTATCAGTCATAATCAAATCAATACTGTCACTGCTGCTGGAAAGGGTATGTCAATCTACTGCCCTTTGGCTCCACTTACCACCCCTATAGCTTTCCAGATACATTCCTCTCTGGCCATCACTATATGCATTGTCTCTCTGCCACCCTCACCCCTTAGAAAGTAAGTTAATTGAGGGCAGGGACTCTCTGTTTTAGTACTTGTATCTCCAAGTCTTGGCACAAAGAAAGCATTTTAAAATAGTTTTTTCATTAAATAATTTTCCTTTCCAATTGAATATGGAATTATAGGCCAAATGTCCCAAACCTGAGCCCTTAGTTGTACCTTTAAAATTGGTACATGTCTTTTGTTCATGGCCACAGGAAACTTGGACTTGTCCAGACCAGTCATTCCATCTTTGAGGGGAACTTTTGGAAGGACACTTTACTTTGCTGATGCAAACTGACAAAATGTCCACAGCTTAAAGACATTCCTAGAGCACTGAGTGAATTAGTCACCCGCTGATCATCCGAGGGCCGGATCTTCCCGTCTCACCCTTTGGCGTCTGTGCCACATTGCTCTTGGCTAGGAGGGCAAAGTACAAGTTTGGGCACAGAGCTGGCACGTAGTCATGTTTCTGGTCTACAGTTGGTTGGCTGGTACCAAATATGTATACTTTACACGACCTTGTCCATAACTGCTCTTTAAAATGGTGCCTAATTCCTGGGGCCTTCATGCTGTGAGGAAAGAACTGAATGAAAAGTTCCTTTAGTCTGTAAGGTCCTACAAGGCAAAATCCACCTCTTGTGCCCTTTTCTATTTCTCAGCATGGGATACTGGGTCCTGGTCTGGATGGGTTGCACCAGCACTCAGTACAGTGTCTGGCTCATAGCAGGCACTTAATAAATGTCGACTGATTTTTTAAAAAATGGTACCTAAGCTACTGAATTCAACAAATATCAGTTGTACTTTGTGTTCTTTATCTACAAATGAGGAAGAAGCAGAGGGCTGGCCCTGAGCCAGGAAGACCTGGGTTCAAGTCTCACCTCTGACACTCGTTGGGTAGGTGATACCTAACAAGTCACTTGCCCTAGAGTGCTCTAGGTAATTCTCCAAGACTACAAGTTTCTCTTTCTTTCTTTCTCCTTTCATTTTCAGATCATGTTTTATTTTTCTCTGATTACAAGTAAAGACAATTTTTAACATTCATTTTTTTAAAATAAAATTTTGAGTTCCAAATTTTCTCCCTCCTTCCTCCTCCTAAGATGATAAGCAATTTGATATAGGTTACATATGTGCAATCATGTAACACATATTTCCATATTTGACTACAAGTTTCAAAGAAGGTAAAGTAAGAACCTGCATTGGTAGCTCCCTATACTAATGAAGTCCCAGGTCCAGCTCCTATCCGTAGGCATAAAAGCAGAGTTTTAATGAGATTTCATCTACACAATGACTACTCTTTTTTATTTTTTTTAAGAGAATCTTATTTTCATTGATACCTTTAAAATTATTGATATCTTTTTTTACTTTACCTTCATTCTCCAACACGTTCACCCCAAATTCCATAACTTACAACAAAGAATAAAAAAGAACAAGGAAAAAAGTAGTTCATCAAAACTAACCCAATGTATCAAGTAGATCTCACGGGATCTGCGATGTCCCAAACCCATAGCCCTTCATCTCTGCAAATAAGGGACAAGGGCACATTTTCTCCTCTTTTCTTCATGGTCAAGCTTGGATATTTTTCGGTCTTTACATCATCTTTATTTCTAAGTACATCCCTCTTCATTCCCAAAGAACTATCCCTTATAAGTATTTTTTTAAGAGAAAAAAACAAAAAGTAGCTCAGAAAAATCAGCAGTTTAAGTGCAGGCAAGATTTCACACCCCTAAGAGGTGAAGAAAATGGATTTTATTATCTCTTCTCCAGGGCCATGTGGTCATTAAGATTATATAATGTTCAGCTTAATTTTTTTTCTTTCCATTTACACTGCTAGCTACCTTTATTCTTATAAAATGTCTTCCGCCCAATGTGCTCCTCCCCTAATCCAATGCAGATCACCGGAGGGTTGGGAATATATTGCACAACTATATTTCATGGTGTTGAAAGGACAGCATAGTCACAATGCTTAGTCACCATTTAAAACAAGGCCATTATAGAGATACACTGGAGACTGAGCAAATAAACATCTGTGGTTTCAGACCTCTAAGTCTCAACAATCTCACACCAACAAGCCTTTGGTACCAGAGGAAGGACTGTTTCATACTCATTGCTCCCCGTTTGTTTGGGTACGTTTTGGTTCCAAAGTAAACAGATAATCCTGGTGGCTGAGATGTGTGAGGCTATCGATCACGGGAAGTGTGTTGTTAATGCACATGCTACAGCAAAAATGGACAACTTCATTATTTACATCAACTAAGTTTGTATAAAGGTCATATTTTGATATGGAAGGATGTTTGTTACATAAAATGGATATCTGATTTGTGAAATTATAAACAGAAAAGGGGAAATGTAGTCATGTCACATCTATTCATGTTCTGCCCAAACATATACAAAACAGGAACATAAAATATCTAAATAGTAAGTCTAAGACTAAGTGATGAAAGACGTCAGCTGCTTTTGAATCCTCATGTGCTCTGTGCTGCAAATTTTGGCTTCATGAATACTTTCTGAAGAACAAAAATCGCAGCTTGACGAATGCTGCATTCCACCCTGACTCAGTGGATCTGACTTCGGGCTCTATACACATAGCACAAAGTCATGTAAATCCGCCTACCCACCCCCACTGCCCACATCCTCCATGCCAAACACCTTTCTGCTAAGATCTGCATTGTTCGAATGGCTGGTCCAAGTCAAGAGCTTTTTAAGAAGAGCAGATGGCAGAGAGCAAAACCCTAAAACCAGATGAATGGAACCAGCCATTATTCAACTGAAACCTGTTCATTAAGGTGGCCTTTAATCTCAAGGTACCACTAATGAGATCACAAAACTGAAAAGATTTGAATGATATTTCTACCAAAGAAAACTAATGTATTATATTTTTTTGAATATGGCCAATGGAGAAATTTTTTTTCCTTCATGATGCATATTTGTTACAAGAGATTTGTTTTTCTGGTTTTGTTTTTGTTTTCCACTATGGGAGTAGGAAGGTGGGAGGAAGAGAAAATAAACTTTTGTTCCCTGAAAAAATTTATTTTAATAAAAGAAAACGAATTCATGAAAACTACTGGTAAGTGGGTTTGTCCTGAACCTTTTAAAAATGAATGTTCCATTGATGCCTTAAAAAAATTGTAATTTTTTAAAAGATGCATTTTTATTTTTAACATTTCCTTTAAAAATTTTTTTTTGAGTTTCGAATTCTTTCCCTCCCTCCAGACCACTGAGAAGGTAAGCAATATAATATCGATTATACATAAAAAATCATGTAAAACATATTTCCATATTAGCCATATTGCAAAAAAAAAACCCAAAAAATAAAGTGAAAAAATATACTTCAATCTGCACTCAGACTGCATCAGTTCTCTCTCTGGAGGTGGATAACATTTTTTTCACCACAGGTCCTTTGGAATTGTCTTGGATCATTATATTGATCAGAGTAGCTAGGTTTTTCACAGTTGATCATTGTTACAATATCACTGTTACTGTGTACAATGCTCTGGTTCTGCTCACTTCACTTTGCATCAGTTCATATAAGTCTTCCCAGGTTTTTCTGAAATCATGCTGTTTGTCATTTCTTATATAACAATAGTATTCCATCACGATCAAATACCACAACTTGCTCAGCCACTCCCCAATTGATGGGCATCCCCTC